AATAGACTGAAGCAAAGACGTTACAAGTTAAAGTCTTTGAAAGCTTTTGGCAAAGGATTAAATTTCCATCGGTTTAAAATACAAAACCCCCCTTGGAAGCAGGAGAAGAGGGGGAAATTTTGGATCTAGTGAGCCTGCAGGAGAGAGTGAAAAATCAAATTACCACTGCTCTGAACCTGGGAACGGGCTGCCAGATGACGTTTGGAGAGAGTGCATTTGACAGAACGGATTTGACAGCTAGCTAAATAAGAGTAAGATACTGTTTCCATTGTCCTCTTCTGCGTTTAAAAAAGAGGAAAAGTAACTGAAAATTTATCTTTAATGCTTGAGTTGTGCTTGAAAGAACTGATACAAGTGGAGACTGTTTCCCTCTAGAGGGAGCTTTTGAAACTGTTACAGGATTGTAACTGGGGGATTTCCAGCTGCAGATAAGGATTCTGAGAACCAGAGAGAGACCTTGGACCATTTAAAAATGTTGACAGGAGAGGCCATTGTGACTGTTTTATGTAAGATAAGCTGTTCGCTGGGACAGCTTCACAAGAAGATGGATGACATGACTTTTAAAGTTGATAATTTGGAACAGAAAGTGACTAATTTGAGTCAAAAAGCGAACATCAACACAGAAATAATTCAGGACTTGGTACAGGAATCCATTTTGGCAGGACAAATGGTGGAGGAGAAGGAGGAGAAGGAGAATGCTGCTGTTGTTGAACATAAAGTTGAACATAAAGTAATACAAGTGAGATCCGTGGCTTTACAGAAGCAAATTGAGGACTATAAGTTGAGGCCTTTTATGATTGAATCTAGGAAAAGTCAGACTCTGAGGAATGGATCCTGGCTTGGACGAAAGAAGGAAAGTTGGAAAGATCCCTCTATGCAGGGATTAACTGACTTTTGGGACATGGTCTCGGGCCTGGAGGAGATTGAAGTTTTGGGGGCCTTTGGACTTGGAGGAATCTTGAAATATGCCCTGAAATACTTTATGGATTGTAGCTTTAACTATGGAAATTTGGCTGATCTGTTCAGAAGGAAGAAAAGGATTGACAGGTTGGAGTTTCCCCGAGATTTGCTCTTTAGCATTAAAGAAAATGAAGAAGACCTGCAGAAGGGACTTGGAAAAGAGTTAAGAGCCTCGGACATAAGATCACCAGGTTGATGGACTTTATGGAGTTGACGGAAAGGACTGGCAGAATCCGAAACCAGGGAGAGGAGATAGTGGAAGAAGATTGGATAATTTAAAGTTTATATATAGACTTATGGTAAAACTAATGAGTGATAGAAAAATGGTGGAATGATTTTTTTTATGGGCTTAGCAGAAATGTTATAAGGAGTTAAGTATATATAAGTATTTTAGTTTTAATGTAAAATAAGGTTAAAAAATACGTTATTTACAATATGATAGAAAATGGAGAAAGATGGAAAGGATTTGCTGAAACAATTAAAAGAAGTGGAATACAAAAAGGGAGGTGAGAGGAGGTCGAGGAAACAAGGGAATGAAAGATAGAGTACGGAAAAGAGATGATGTATGTTTTTAAATTGTTTTTGTTTTGTTTCATTTAGGGTTAAGGTTAGGGAGTGGGGTTTGTTTAGTTTAGATTAATGTGTTTAGCTTTGAGTTTAGGTTGTGTTTTGCATTGTTTATATATTGTATTGTATTGCATTTTTTCTTTTTGCTTTCCTTCTTTGTCTTTTTTTCTGTTTTTTTCCTCTCTTCTTTTTTCTCTTTTTGTAATCTATAAAAGTAATAAACATTATTTTTTTTAAAAAAAAGAAAGCTGCTTTAGAATCCATATGTTTCTAGGAAGCTGCCTTATAACAGGTCGGAGTATTGGTCTGTTTACCCCATATTGTCTACTCTAACAGAACCTTTCCAGCATCTCAGGCAGAGATCTTTCCCATCACCTCTTGCTCCCTGCCCATTTTAACTGGAGATGCTAAGTATTGCACATTTTCTTCCAACAGTAGAAGAATAAGTGCTCTTTGCAATATCTATCAGAATCCAGCAATTGTAGATAGGTAGCTGCCTTCTATCAGGTCAGGCCGTTGGCCCATCTAGCTCAGTGTTGACTACATTGACTGCCAGTGGTTCTCAGGGGTTTGAGACAGGGTTCCCCCCTAGCCCTACCTGGTAGGGATTGAACCTGTGACCTTCTGCACAATTGCCAGGAAGGAGATGGGGAAGGGTGGCCCATCGTCCTCTAGCTTCTAAGCAGGACTAATATTGGCTTCCAATTGTTTATTAAGGTTGTAACACTACAGGGGGTAGCCAGCGCCTCTAAACTAGCAGTAACTCCAGCATTCAACAAGCCTTCAAGTTTCCTCTTCCCACACTACATTATAGCATGCAGATATGTATTTTCCTACATTTTAATGAGAAATTGTTTAATTTTCACTTCTCAAATTAATGCTACACAATGTGTCGGTGGAGCATGTGTAAGTCCTTGCCACCCTCACCCCGTTCTGCCCCTTTTGGTGATGTCTTTATGATGCTTGGGGGCTACTTCTGGGTTTCACATGTGGACAATTACATGTTATTTGGACACACCTAAATTGGCTGTTGCCTGTAAAGCAGTGCAGAGCTGTGGACCAGAGTGTCTTCCTCAGCCAAGCCTGTAGTCATGGTGACTGGGGTGGAAGAAGTTCTGGCAGAAAGGAGCAGAGGGTCTTTGAATGGAGCTGAGAAGGGCCAGATCATTCATACACAGCACCTTTTAGCTTTCATTCCCATTCTTAGTGCATTTAATTCACAAATTTGGCCTAGATGTGCCCGTTGTTGTTCATTACATTTCTGTGTACACACACAGTTACATAACTGAGTGCTACTATTAACATGATGCGACAGCACTAAATGTCTTCTTATGTTTATATTGGTTTGTTTTTTTAAAAAATTGTGTTTAATCTGCATTAGGAACTCCTGTCAGGGTGAGTGCATTTCTCTAGGCTTGGTGCAGCAATTAAATGGGCATTTAGCATCTCCACCGAGAAAGAGGTTGGGCAGAAGACAACTGCTAATCCCAGGAGAATGTTGGACTAATGAAGAGCATGACTAACAAGCCTCAGGTGTATCTGCTGGCTTCAAAGGCAGAGACAGCAAATATGGCATTAGTACGCTTCAGAGCACCCTTCTGCGGTAGCTTCCGTACATGGATTAACAAATTAAGCAACTGTAATAATTAAGATCAGAAAAAAGAGTAAAAAGTTATTGATGCATTTTGTGGGTTGGAAAGAAGTAGAGTACCTTAGCCCCAAATGCCTGCAGTTTTGTGTGCGCATATCCAGAAATATGCTAAGCGTTGGACAACATTTAAATCAGGATTTTATTAATAATAATGAAGTTTGGGAATGGCTACATAGACCAAACTATTACCATGATTTCCCTACAATTCTGCCCTAATGAGTGAATGCATTCACATAACTAGTAATCATGAATATTTATTTACTAACACAATTTCCCTAGTATTGTGATGGTGTTTGTTGTTGTTGTTGTTGTTGTTGTTGTTGTTGTTTAATGTTACCTGTCTTCTATTGATTTGATACATTTTTCAGATAGCCTGTATTCAGTTGCTTTTATATCACAGGGTTTGGTTTGGCAGTAGCCTAAATGATTTATTTTGAACTGCTGGAGATTTCATAATAATTGAAGTGTTTCAGCACCACATTCAGCCAGAAGGCCAGAGTACCCTAAGCAGCTGTTATAAGACCTTTTAATTCCATTAGCCATCCATTCTTAGACAAATTTCCGTATTCCATTTTAATGTATTGTCCTCTCTAGAAACATGCGGAGGGGAAAAAATGTTGAAACAATTCTCTATATTTTCCTCCTATAACTTGCTCAAAACAGCCACCCTTGCAGGATGGTTTATTGCCCACAAACAATTAGTGTGTGCAATATCCCCTCGGGTAGAAATGGAAGAGGGAAACCAAAAATGCCTGCAGCAACATGATGTTGTTGGACTCAGCCCCAGCTAGCAAGGCCAATGGTCAAGAATGATGGGAGCTGTAGACCACCAAATGTGGAGAGCCACCAAACACTTATTATTCACACACATCCAAGAATATCTGCATTCAGCTGCAGAGACTGTGCTAGTGAATAGCGAAATCTGGGACTCAAGTTCACCCTTCTGCCACTGACAACCATCCAGCTCCAAGGTAGTGGTGAAGCTTGAATTAACTACAATTTAGGATACCTACCGTACACATAATAATTAACAGCAATTAATAACCACAGTCTTCAAGCATCTTGGAACTTTAGTAAACATGGAAAGCCCTTATCACAAGCTGAAAGGCCTTTTTGACTGCTAATTGAATCATGATTAATATCTGTTCATGAATCATTTCCTCTCCCTGTGTCTTCTTCAACCCAGTAAGTCACTCTGAGAAGTAGCTTTTTAAAAAACCCAAGTTTAATGCTTACTGGCAAAAAGTACTTTGCCTGCTGTCACTAACTGAGTTTTGCACCAGTCATTTGATTGTGTTCCTGTCTCAACTTAATTGTAGCAAATTTTCAGATCAAATGTGAAAAGGGCTTTTTCTGTGTACCTCGGTAAGTGAATAAAAGGCAGTCCGTCATATTCCTGACAGACCTGAAATATGCATGGAGATGCGCTCAAAAAATTGGACGCCAGAAACGTGATGCGAATGCCAAATGATTAGCTGAGAATGGATTAGATGCAGTGACAGTTTAGAAAACGCACGGCGGAAGGAGAAGTACCTGAAACACCATTCGATATGATCCATGTTCATTATGGGGTGGTTTGTGTCACAAAATGGCAGAAGATGCTAATGTGGGTCAGCAAGCCAGCTGAAAAGAATCTGAAATCCGTAAAGAAAAGAGATTACGTAGGTAGAAAATGAACTTTGGAAAACAGGAAGCAAAGGCCTGAAAAGCAATAGACTAAAAGCCAACAGAATGAGGAAAACCTGAAGATTTATGATTTAATAGCAAGTGTTAATGCTTGCGAAGCAACTTTCTGTGCAAAATCCCATCAAGGGTAAAAACCGAACAAGAATAATTGATAAAATATCCCCGCAGAAACAAATGGGAGAGCCCAACAGCATTAGCGTTCTCATCTATATTGGTAATCCTCAGGATCATGAAGACAAGAGGTGGTCTCTGCAAATACTTGAATAGTGAAAAGGAAGACTTTCAGGATTACTTTGTTCACTGCGACTTGAACAAGTGCCTGTTATGATACCCTTTGTGATTTCATCAATGGACTTGCGTACCCAGTTGCAGCACCCCCTCCCCAGGGAGCAGGAGCCCTCTCACCAGTGCCACTAATGATCACACTGGAACAGGAGCCCTCTGGAAGGTAGTAGCAGACAGGCTGTTCCCTCTCGCCTCTTCACACGGCCAATCCACCAAGACAAAGAAGACCAGAGCAGGACTCCTCTAAAGGCGCCTGAGCTAACCAACACACCAAGGTGCTTTGGCGGCTAACAAGCCAAGAGCCTTCAGCTCTTCTGAGGGCTCGATGCTGCCGATGCTCTGCTCAGGGAGCCTGCGCCTTGCTCCTTGCCACTAGCGCACTTCCTCAAAAGCAGAGAATCCTGGTGATCCCTGTGCTCTGCTCCCGGTGCTCCTGTACTGCATCATAAACAATCTCATGAGGACCCTCTCTCTGGGTCTTCTTCCTTCTCTATGATGTTCTCTCATGACGTTCCGGGCCAACTGCGTTGCTAAGAGTAGTGCCGGCCTATTTAAATGCCCTGGGGGCAGACCAGAGCAACAACTTTGGCAGCCAGGTCCACTCCTTGGCCTATCCTGCCCCAGCTGCCGCGGACTGACGCAAATTCATATCTGGGTCTGGCGGACCTCACCTCAAAAGGGATATTGTAGAGTTGGAAATGGTTCAGAAAAGGGAACCAAAATAATCAAGGGAGTGGGGCAACTCTCCTTTGTGGAAAGGCAGATCCAGTTTGGGCAGCAGGAGGATCCAAAATTGGATCTGCACGCAAAGCAGATGCTCTACTACTGAACTAAGTTCCCTCCCCAAAGCGTATTTCTCCTCTTTCTTTTCCACGCTGCTGACTCAAGCCAGACCAGGCAGTTGTTGAAGATCTTTGAATGTCACTCCCCAACTATTTAAGATTGCACTTTAAAGTAATAAGAAAACAATGTTTTAAACCATCACCTATAAATTAACTACCAGCTGTCCTGCCAGCAGCTTGTGCCAATTTCTGTCTAACAAAAGGTTTCAGTTTAATTCTTTCACATTTAAGTCACCTTTTCAGTTACTCCTATGAAAGGATTGCCTCCCTGCTTTAAAGGTTTTCATAACTATAGGTCTGGAAAACATCAAGTAAGAACCAACTTATTCAAGTGATCTGAAAGATAAATTAGAATCCAAAGAAGATTTTAACGCTGAATTTAATCTCAAGTAAATAGGATTATGAAAGTTCAATAGCATCTTCAGCATTATTTTTTCTGACTGAAGTATTCTAGATAACTTCTGGGCTTATTGATTTAATATGAGTGTTTGTGTGTTTCCAACCAGGAAAACTGTGCTCAGCATGAGATTTTATGCTTCAGCTCTAACAATTCTGTCTTCCCACAGAGATCTTCAAAAACCTACATTTCAAGCATTTTTCTTTGAATGTCATCTGAACAGAACAGCACGTCTATTTTTCCTGCTTGGTTCTGATTGGTATCTCTTTGTTTCAGCCGATGAAGATGTAACAAGATTTCAGAGAGGACTAGTAATTTCTTATTTGATGAGAAGAGTTTTTCTTCAAAGCAGAATTCTCACTTCTATGCCATTCATATTGGTGCATCCCTCTTTTAAAAATGCTTTGGGTGTAAGTAAATTAAAGACCTAATCTGAGGTATGGAAACTTGAGATACTGGGTCCCTGCAAGATTTGGCTACCACAAAACAAATTTACGTTGGGATTATTTCCATGGGGACAAATTGTGCTGCCATTTCGAATTATGGACCGCATTATTAATGAGCTGCATGATAAAGGATGCCAAGGTTAGCTTTCTTCCATTTAGAGGAATGAGTCATGCCTTTGGCTGATCCTCTGTAGCAACAATTGTTACTTGACAGAATGGAAGTGGGGGAAAGAGCTTGGAGCAGACTCCATTAAAGCTCTGTAGCAATCAAGGAGCAATTTTCATTTCTTCATCTGGAACATCCCGAGGATGATTTTCAACTGGCTTTGTATTTTGTATCCCTATTTATGCTTATGCAAAGCCCACATATCAGTTCCTAATGGTGAAATGAAAGTTATTTTCTCGCACTCAATTTGCATGGGTATAGAGAAGATTTGCATTCGTTTAATATGTTGCACATTGCACTGGGGAGAGAGAATTCTTCAGGGCAAGGCTTCATGACTCTCTGGAAAACTTCATGGAGGTCCCATGAATGCCAGGCCTAAAGGGCAGCCCCAAAGATCCCCACAAGTCAAAGGCAGTGGAATGTGAATCAGGAGTGCCCTTAAAGCCCATAATGCCTCAAAGTGTCTGTCAATTAAGTTCTTAGATTTCATTACCTGCCAGCATTGAATGCCAACTGACCAAATAAGGAGAGAGAGAGAATAAAAAATAAATAACCCTGTAGTGTGGGGTAGGCATAAAAAGAGGAACGCCAAGGGCCTATCAAGGGCTCCCCCCCAAATCTGCTCAGCTCCTGAAAGGATTACAGTGGTACCTCGGGTTAAGAACTTAATTCGTTCCGGAGGTCTGTTCTTAATCTGAAACTGTTCTTAACCTGAGGTACCACTTTAGCTAATGGGGCCTCCCGTCGCCACCGCACAATTTCTGTTCTCATCCTGAAGCAAAGTTTTTAACCCGAGGTACTATTTCTGGGTTAGCGGAGTCTGTAACCTGAAGCATATGTAACCTGAAGCATGTGTAACCTGAGGTACTACTGTACTAGCAAAAACAAAACCCACCCTGTAGCAGGAGGGAAGGTGCAGCAAAAAAAGGGGGGGAGCAGAAGGTGCACTTCAGCATGGCTGTAAAGGTTATGCACAATTGTATCAATTCACCAGCATAGATTTATTATCCTTGGGTACTGTGTCACTCTGTCAGTGCAAAGCAATTTAACAGCAATCCTATTCTGGGTGTAAATTGAATATAAGACACCTCTGCCCTGTCTTATCATTCTAAAGACATTTTCCTCCTTTGGTTTTCTTGTTCTATGGCTATGAAGACAAAGAGGTGCCAAATGCATGCTGCACATACCATTGACGGGGTGGTCCTTTGCATATAATAATGTTCTATATGACTGAATAGTTTTGCAAACTTATGAACTGGGGTCTAAACTATGAGCTCAGCATTCAAGTTGGAGATATTTTGCAGAGATTAAATCAATATTGGAGGTGCTGAATGCCTTCTGAGTCTGTTACATCAGTAATAACAGGTGTCCTGCAACCTGAATATGAGTATCTGATCATTTTCTGATCCCGTTAAGAAACAGCACAGCATTTTATTTACTTCTTCTTTTTTTACCCACAGTTATATGCTCAGCAGATGTCTTTTGTGAGCAGTCTCTGATGGGAGTGATTTTAATTCGGGTTTGTGCTCAACAAAAGCAGATGGCACCAAACAGTTAAAAGCATTAGCTGCCATTTTGGAAAGTAAGAAGCAGCGCACTCCCAAACACACACACACAGTCCTAGCCAGCAGATTTTTATAGGGGCAAAAAACAATGTTCAGAATAAATACACCAGCCACTAAAAACAAAAGGTTGAAATTAATGAAACGTGTGTGCACACACAAAAAATCTCCAGCTGATTAAGATGAAAACTGTCTGCTTTTAAATAAGGCCAGGAATTAAGTACAAGACAACACAAAGAAACAACTTTGCATGAAAATAAACACACAAACGAATGGAACAAGACAATTAAGAGGGGGGGAGTGGGATGCTAATGTCTGCAGCTGCAAATGTATCTGCTGTCAGTCAACAAATGCATAAGTAAGTTCCACAATGTCACAAATATGAACTGCAGAAGAGAAAACCTAGTTAAAGCACAAAAACAAAGGGCATCTTAAGCATTCATAAAACGACTCCCCCCTCCCCCTGATTAATTTAAAATATGCATAGGAGATAATTTGGTCCTGAATGCCATCACTGAAATGGCATTTGTGCAGATGAATAATCTGCATATTTTCATTAAAGTGCAAGAATAATTATTTTATGGGAAAGCAACTCCAAAGGCCTCTGAGCCAAGGTGCAAGCATGTAATAACTGAATGGTTCTTTCCATATAAAGCATCTACACCGACCACCCCCAACTTGCAAAAAATCTGTCTAGGGTGGGAGGTGGGAGTGGTCAGCTAGGTAAGCTCCCCTGCTCAAATTATTGCAAGGGCACAGCTCAAGCTCACCTCAGCCAAGCACCTTGCTTCAATTCTGCTTGCCCGCTTAAGTTGTCTACTGCTGACCACACTAGAAGAGCGCTGGTGGATCAGCCCAAAGGCCTATCTAGTTCAGCACCCTGTTTCTCTCTGTGGCCCGTTAGATGCCTCTGGGATCTAGGTCAATAGCTCTGTTTTCCTATCAGAACCCAAAGTCTGGTATTTGGAGACATCAAGGGGAGCATCATGACTAGTAGCTACTGAGAGCTTTATCCATCAGGAATTTGTCTAATCTCATTCTGAAGCCATGTCGCTACATCTTGTGGTAGCAGATACCACATGTGTGAAGAAATGCTTCCTTTAGTCCACCCTGAATTTCCCACCATTCAGCTTCATTAGCTGACCCTGGATTCTAGTATTATGAAAGATTAAGGAAAAGCCCATGGTGGTCAGAGGATGCAGTAGTAACCAGAACAGGGCTATCAAGAAGATAGGAGAGGTGGCAAAGTGGTTCTTTTTTTTTTTTAGAATATTTTTTAATTAACCGACCAATCACATCAAATCAAACCAAATTACATAAATTCCAAATTACACAGCCGAATTTTAAATTTTTGTTGGGGGTACTCATATTTCAAGTTCCGAAGGGATCCAATCAACTTCTTGCTTCTTACTGCTGTTTTAATGTCCACAAATCTAACCTTATGATGTTCACAGTACTATCCAGTCCTTTCTTATTATTTTTCCACATCTCTTGTTGTTATTTTCATATATTTTCCTTTCTCTTTGTGACCTCTGATAGTCTCCGCAAGCTGGTTAGAACAGTTTGTAATCCTGCGTGGATATTATTTTTTTATCCAGTAGCCATATCCAGACGTTTTCCATATAACATCACTTCCATACATCAAAACAGTCTTAGCGTCATTAATCTTCACCAATCTGCCTCCTTTCTCAAAACCTCTGAGGAGATTCACTAGGAATGCAGTCTGAAAACAAATCCGTTCTTCCTCCCGGCTGTAAATCCTTTGGCAAGATGGTGACTCCGAATTAATTGCTGCGCCATTCCCAAAAGCTCTTATTGCTTCTTGGTCTCCATAAAGCATTCTTTTGGTTAAAGTTTATCTCCACACAGACCTTAATCATCCTGCTTGGGTCAGTTCAACCGACGGCTCTAATGAGGAGGGGTTCTTGTAAATCACATAGAAGGAAAGTAAAAAAGGTTTCCCCACCCCATTCAGCCCCGTTGTCAACATACCCCGCCTTTGGTGTATCTTCATCGTAAAATATTCCTGTTTCTCCAGCCCGTCGTCTTCTTTCGCAGAGGTCACTTAAATTAGCAGACTTCACTCCCCTTCTTCACTTGAAATATGTGCATTTGCTTCTTTTGTAATTAATTATTCCAAATTGCTGCAACTAGTGCACGATCAGTGAGACAGCGTCCAGGAGAGCCGATGTCCACACGGGGGCATTCTGCCTAGGGCCCTCACCCCCTTCTTTCGAATTAGGGGGTGATTTATGGGCACAGCAGGCAAGGGCAGTGTTCCCCATTTCCTTGGGGCAACAAGGGAGGCTGCCTACTCCCATAACAGCCTCTTAATTACCCCGTGTGGGTCGGAGAGATGGTATTGTCAGCCATCTTCCAATGCGCCCCCTAGTGGCCCCCCGTGGCAAAGTGGTTCTAATGGGGGCAGAAGTTCAGATCCCCACTCTGTAGAATAAGCAGGAATCTCCCTCTCCAAAATAAAAAGTTGGCTTACAACATATCCCATCTAAACAGCCCCTCACAACAAGAATTAGGGGTGCTATGCCAAAATATGTCCTACAATTTCTAACACAAATTCATCCACTATGAAAGAGGATTCCAGTTTTGATCCTCATTCTCGTTGTTGTTGTTTAGTCGTTTAGTCGTGTCCGACTCTTCGTGACCCCATGGACCAGAGCACGCCAGGCACTTCTGTCCTCCACTGCCTCCCTCAGTTTGGCCAAATCCTCATTCTCAGTGTACTTCAAATGAGTGTACTTCAAATGAGGGTTTCCAACATGAGCATTCTGGAGGTGCCTATGCCACGTAGCCCTGCTTGTCGGTGAGTCACTCCCACAGGTACAACGGATAGCAAACACACATTTGCTCCTGGGTATCGTGTGAAGCAGTTCAAATCCCCGCGACGGGGTGAGCTCCCGTCCCTGCTCCTGCCAACCTAGCAGTTCAAAAGCACATCAAAGTGCAAGTAGATAAATAGGTACCGCTCCAGTGGGAAGGTAAACGGTGTTTCCGTGCGCTGCTCTGGCTCGCCAGAAGCGGCTTAGTCATGCTGGCCACATGACCCGGAAGCTGTACGCTGGCTCCCTCGGCCAATGAAGCGAGATGAGCGCCGCAACCCCAGAGTTGGC